TTTTTTTTTGTTTAGGTTTTATTTGAATAGCAGTGGTTTCAGTTGGTTTTATTAAACAGGACAATAAAAAAACAGCTAACGTTCAGTAGAGGGATGTAGATTATATCTTCTCTGAGATTATAGTCTATAATCAGACATTTTGATGTAAAAAGAAAATAAGATTGATTTAGTTTAATTAGAATCATCTGGCCTTTTCTGTCCATATTTTGGTTTTGTTTGTTCTCGACTGACTGATAATTATTTTTTAATGAAGTCACACTTTAGTTTTTACTCTGTGAACTCTATAGAACCATATATGGTTGAATTAGTTTGACACAAAGTCGCATTTGTTTGGAGTTTTAAAGGTGTTTAAAGGATCTAAGGAGCTTTTGAGCGCTTCGAGTGGCTCTTTTATCCAAAGATTTGTGGTTTTAGTTTCATTTATCTATCATGTGTTTGTATTATTTCCCAAACAGATGGTCTCTGTGGTTCTTCAAGAATGACAAGAGCAAAACGTGGCAGGCCAACCTGCGACTCATCTCCAAATTTGACACAGTTGAAGATTTTTGGGCGTAAGGAGCAATAAATATCCGATTTTCTGTACTTTGAGTGACCAGAGGAGTGAAATATTCTTGAATGTCTTTTTTTGAAAACTTTAAAATCCTAAATCTTTGATGTTCTCTGTTTCAGCCTCTACAATCACATCCAGGTATCAAGTAACCTCATGTCTGGCTGTGACTACTCTCTTTTTAAGGTAGGCTGGATTTAGCTCCTGTTAAAGGAAATTTGCTCACCTTTTTATTACTTTTATGTGTTTGTTTTATACTTTTTCTCAAAAATCTTCCTGACGGATGAACCAGTGATCAATCTTGTACAAACAATTTAAACCCTGATACGAGTTTGACACAAACAGTTTAATTGATCCACTTTGACGAGCGTGTGTAAATTATTAACTTGGTTATCACGTTTATGTGTTTGAAAATATAACAACTTTGGGGTGAAAAGGAAGGAGGTTTGATGTAACAGAAATATTTTTATCATTTATTTAAACCAGAATATAAGTTACTAGGGCTGTGTATTGGCAAGAATTTGGCAATACGATACATATCATGACAGAGGGGTCACGATACGATATATCCCGATATATTGCGATACTATAAGCAAGGCGATATATTGCGATTTCTTTTTGT